CCTTCCCTCTTTCCTCTGAAATATGATCATCTGATGCATGTGTCAGTGTCTCTGAATCTGTTTAGTTCGACAGATTCTTTTGTTTATCAGCTTCCTCTTAAGACCATTCAACATTTCCTGTAGTGCTGGTCTGGTGCTGATGAACTCCTTTAGCTTTTTCTTATCTGTGAAGCTCTTTATCTGACCTTCAATTCTAAATGATAGCTTTGCTGGGTAGAGCAATCTTGGTTGTAGTTCCATGTTTTTCATCACTTTGAATATTTCTTGCCACTCCCTTCTGGCCTGCAAAGTTTCTGTTGAGAAATCAGCTGACAGTCATATGGGTGCTCCCTTGTAGGTAACTAACTGCTTTTCTCGTGCTGCTTTTAAGATTCTCTCTTTGTCTTTAACCTTTGGCATTTTAATTATGATGTGTCTTGCTGTGGGCCTCTTTGGGTTCCTCTTGTTTAGGACCCTCTGTGCTTCATGGACTTGTAAGCCTATTTCTTTCCCCAGGCAGGGGACGTTTTCTGTCATTAATTTTTCAAATAGATTTTCAATTTCTTGCTCTCTTTCTTCTCCTTTTCGTATCCCAATAATACGAATGTTGGGCCTCTTGAAGTTGTTCCAGAGGCTCCTTATACTATTTTCATATTTCTGGATTCTTTTTTCTTTTTGCTCTTCTGGTTGGGTGTTTTTTGTTTTCTCATGTACCAAATTGCTGATTTGATTCTCAGCGTCCTCTACTCTACTGTTGATTCCCTGTAAATTATTCTACATTTCAGTTCATGTAGCCTTCATTTCAAATTGGTACTCTACTATGTCATTGATTTTTCTCAGTCGCTTTCGTAATACTCTTTACTAATATGTTTGAGCATCCTTATAAACAAAATTCTGAATTCTTTATCTGTTAGCTTGCTTGGATCTATTTCATTTAGTTCCTCTTCTAGAGATTTCTTCTGTTCTTTCCTTTGTGACATGTTTCAGTGCCTCCACATTTTCGCTGCTTCCAGGTATTTGATTCTATATATTAGGTAGAGCTGCTATGTTTCCTGGAATTTGTAGAGTGGCTTTGTGTAGTAGGTGTCCAGTGGCTCAGCCTCCCCAGTCCCTTAGCTGGGCCTTCTAGATGCTTCCCTGTGTGGGCTGTGTGCACTGTTCTGCTGTAGTTGAGCCTTGGTTGCTGTTGGCGTCACTGGGAGGAACTGACCCCCAGGTCAGTTGGCTGTGAGGACCAGCTGCAACTACAGCCAAGGAGCTGCTGTGCTGGAGATACCCCTGTGGAGCAGGATTTACTTCAGTGGAGCTTTGGTGTTCACTAAGTGCACCCCTTGAGTGTGTCACTCGTGGATGTGGTAGAGTCGTAATCCAGCGTGGTTGAGTCTGACCACCAGGTGCACTGTCTCTGGGGCCTCCTGGGAACTGCAAAGTCAGCCTCTGCCAGTGCCTTGCCCAGGGCCACCCAGCATGAGCTACACAGCAAACCATAGTTGGCTGCTACTTGTGCTGGGCTTGGAGGTGTCCAGGAGAGGCCAAGCTGTGAACCAGTGCAGGCTACCACTAGTGCCAGGCCTGGAGTCACTTATTAAACTGTATAGGGCTCGCTGCTGCTTGTTTGAGAGATTTTAGGAAAGTCCTAAGCATGAGGCTCGAGAGTCCACTTGCAAAGAAAAGCCCCTGGAAATGGCCTGGATGAGCCTGCAGGTAGGGAGGGGTGGGGCCAAAGGTGTGAGTCAGGTGCTTGAGATTCAAATATGGCGCCTGCCTGCCGGCTGTGTGTGGGGAGGGCTCGCCAAAGGAGCCATGGCCTCTGCAGCTCTTCTGCCTAGGAGAAAGCTGTCCCTTCACCTCTTGCCTCGATTTCAGGCAAGTTAGTTCCTCCCCAAGTGTCCCAGGTTCCTTTCCAGCTGCTGCCCGGTGCTGGGCTCAGAGGGCGCACATCTGAGTGAGTTCTCGTGCAGGCCCTTTAAGAGGAGCTGCTGGGGCTCCTGCAGCCTGCCCAACCCTCAGTGACAGTTCCCACTAGTTTCACAGCCTGAAGTTGTGGGGATTTCTCTTCCCCTGCCCTGGAGCCCTGGGATGGGGGACTGATGTGCGGCTGGGACGCCCCCCCCCCTCCGGGAAACCTCCACCACCGAGATTCCCTCCCTGAATTACCCGCGGCAACGGGTGTGGGCCTGTGGCCGCGTCTCCTAGATCAGCCCCATCCACCTGGGTCTCCACCCCTCCTACTGGTCTTGATGCTTCTTCAGTTCCCTCCTTGTAGGACTTCTGTTCAGCTGGATCTCAGGAGGTTCTGAGTGATGGTTGTTCTGTATTTTAGTTGTAATTTTGATGTGGTTGTGGGAGGCTGCAGGTACAGCGGTTACCTGTGCCGCCATCCTGTTTCCTCCCCCTGTGTAGATGTTTTATATTCTTGACAATACTTTTATTCCCATAATGATAGTAGGGTTTTTTTTTCTTTTTTAGGGACTTGGTCTCACTTTAGCCCAATTAGTTACCTTTTGAATGAATATTATTCCAGTACTCCGCTGGAAAGAAATTTGTATAATTTACCTCCTATGTTTATGTGCAACACTTTTCCTGAATTAAGACAGTTATATTGCCTGAAAAGGCTGCTCCAGCAGGTATTGTCTTATCTGTTCTTCCCTTGTGCTGTTATGTAGAATCTACTAATCTGAAAGGCATCCTTTCCTGCCTCTGTGCAGGACTGTCCTGTGAACTAGCATCTAAAATGAAACTTTTACCAGAAATGAGTTTGCTTTTTGTTCTCCCAGAGGACTGGAGTGGAGGGGGGTGGACAGGTTCGAGAACATATAAATTTAAAGCAGTTATAGTCCAGCAAGGACCATGCAGCTGCAGTCATTGAAGATAGATAAATCCTCACTGAAGAATATGTTGATTGATTGATTGAGAGGGAGGAGAGACGTGGGGGTGGGAGAAGAAACATTGATGTGAGAAGCATCGATGAGTTGCCTCCTGTATGCGCCCTAACCAGGAATCAAACCTCCAACCTTTTGGTGTATGGGATGACGTGCCAACCAACTGAGCCACCGGGCCAGGATGAAGATAAATACTTTTTTTATTGTATTTGCCTCAAAAGCATGTTGTGAGCATTTTGTACAAGTAACTATTTCAGTTGCTGTGTTAAATACATTGCTGTATTTAGCATTTATTTTCTAATAGAGTATTAGTTTTCAGTTTTTCAAAAGTTATGTCTCATTTAAAATCAGCTATCAGTTAATCATACCTAAAAGTCATCAGCTTGTATATTTAATTTATTGTGACATATTAATAATCTTCCATTTAGTGTTGGCATTCTAAATCTCCTAATGGCAGATTCATTTTACAAATGGTAGATTCCCGTTTATAAATAAATGTCTATACTCTTTATATACCACTCATTCAGACAGTTAGACAGCACTTACTTAGGGAGCTTCTGCTGTGTGCTGAGCACTGTCTTAAGCTCCCGGGATTCAGAAGGACACAAAGCTGGAGGAGAGGGAGGCTTTTCTTCTGGAGTGTACATTTCAGTAGCATTGTTGCTCTAGGACAGTGATTTTCCACCAGTGTGCCACAAGAAATGTTTAAAACATGCAATGCTATTTAGTCAGGGGCACTGACCTCTTTCCCCTTAGATTGTCAGATAAAAAAATGACAGTTAACACAGCAATAGCTGTTCAGTGTGAATCAAAATTATACCTTTTTTTTTTTTTTTTTGTCAGATTGGCAAAAAATATATTTTTTTGTGTGCCGCAGAATTTTAGTACTTAGTTTATGTGTGCCATGAGATGAAAAAGCTTGAAAATTGCTGCTCTAGGAGGTAGGCTTTGGCTTCTTCTAGTACACCATCAGCCACTAGCTAGCTACCAGGTCAAGTTAGAGAATTACTGATCTTCATTTTCTTCAAGTGATTGGTCTTGATCTCAACAGGTTTAATCTGACCTCTAAAATTTCTCTGGAGACTTTGTATGTCTTTGTTTATTTGTCTTTTGTTTTAAGCCTCCCCCCAACCCCCAATTCCTAGAAATTAAGGGCTCAAAGTCTTCTTGATACCTTGTT